AGCTAAGACCAAGTAACAACTGTAACAGCAATTTGAAAATCAAACATATCATAAAAATAGAGTGATTCGAGCGAACGGTTGACTTAAGAAGAGAGGGGGTCGACCTGAGCGCACCCGATTTCAGAAATGTGCAAAAATTGAGTCTATGCATCGACCAGAACAGGTCTATGAGTCGATGCAAACTCGCCCAAAACTGAAAAATTCAAATGTTAACAGTATGAGTTGACCGAAGGGTCGACGCGAGCACACCTGGGAGCAAAAGCTCAAAATTCACATTACATGAGTCGACCTAAGCAGGGCTTTGAGTCGACTCAAGCCTTCGAAACTTCCAAAAATAACTTTTTGAGCATGTTTTGGTCTACCTAAACAATACTTAAACACACCTAAGTCTCTCAAAAGGATCAAATACACATAAAACATATATGAAGCTCTTCTATATGAATAGACTCATGTTTTTGAAATAATTTCATGCACTAGAGAACTACGAATGCAGATAAGACTCGATGATACCATCCAAAATACAAAGTACTAACTAGACACGTTTTGACATCATTAAAATAAGGATTGAGACACCTTGCTCTCACAATACTCTTTAGGTAAGACAGAAACTACATAGCAGACAATGTCTAACAACGACTCTGACCCAGAGTCAAAGTTAACTCTGAGCATATCATCTTTCACAACAACTTGGTTTGATCTCTTTGCCACATATTTCTCTTTATTAGTGAATAACCTCCCCCCGAAAGGCTTTTTTATCACTGCTCCTGTCTTTTCCGGTAGGCATATTGCTGCTAGATTCTACTTTTAATCTCTCTACTGCCTCTTTTTCACCTTTGCGCTTTCTCTGTTGTCGTCTCCACTGGGATCTCGACATGGGATTTTTACCTTTGTAATTCTTTGAGCGCCATGTTGATTTTTTAGAGGCTTGAAACTCTCTTCGGTAGGCTATTGACGAACCTCGTTTGACTTTGAAGTTCTGCCACTTTTTCTGGCCTTGTTTCCTCTCTTCAACCGGTTTTACCCACTCGTCCCTATGGGCGTTTGCAGTGGGTTTGAATGTGGAAGGCTTGTTTCCATGAAGCCTTTGTTCATTTCGATCATGTCTCCTAGGTGCTCCTCTCCTATCGAAGGCACAGTGGTTTCTATAATCCCTCAAGTTATTCTTGGCCTTTGCTCGTCGAACTCCCTGAATATTCTCCGCAACCTTCCTGCCGAAGACTGCGATGCACCTAGGGTACAAAATTACTTAAGAATTATTTTTTTGGCACCTCTGGAGGAAATCAGCCAAATTCTCCTCTTGTTTAGGATAAGCCACCTTAACGTAATCTTCCTGCTTGAGGCTGGATTCGTCTACCTCCATCGCAGATCCTTGGGTCATTTCGACCATGTTTACCCTGAGATTAGCACCTTCAGTAATGCCAAACTCTTGAAACTTAATCCTAAGGCTTTCAGTAACCTTAGTTTCGTTTTTAAGTTGCATGAAACCCTCAGTAGTCTCATGAATTATAATTGTTTGATTGGAACCTTCAGTAGTCCTTTTGTATAAGCTTTAAGTAGCTTCCTTGTTGAGGCCATCAGTAACCTCTTGGTTGAAGTTCTCAGTAACTTCTTAGGCAAAACCCTCATTAGTTTCTTTGCTGGAATTCTTAGTGACCCCAACGTCGAAGCCATCAATGACTTCGACCATCACATCATCATCGGTGAAGTCTTCAGCAACTTCTACCATGTTAACCATCGAAGGTTCAGTATAATGTGCATTTGCTACAGGGAGAGGGTCAACGTCGATCTTCATCTGATTTTTTTGACTTATCAGCAAACCTGAGTATCCCCTCCTTGATGGCATTTTGAACAAGTCCTTGAAAACGAAACATTGAGAAGTTTTATGACCCAAAAAATTATGGTATTTGCAAAAATATCTCTTCTTTCTTTGTTCTAAAGGTGGAATTTTAGCACAAGGAGGTACTATCATTTGGTCATACTTAACTAATAAATAAAATATTTCATTACACTTAGTGACATAGAAGGGGTAGGTTCTTTTAGGGAACTTGTCAGTTTTCTCTGATTCGACTGGAGTTTTTCTATTCTTGTTTGCCCTAGCCTTCTCAGCCTTCAGGCGTTCTACCTGTCGAACTTTGTCTGCCAATTGGGTTGTATCTCTCAGATATTGGGTATCCAACTTCTTCCTAATTGAGTAGTCAAGGTCACCAGCGGCCATTTCAACTAACTCATGCTCAGGCACTTGTGTAAAACACCTAGCCTTAAGCAGTCGAAACCTATTCAAGTAATCGTCTATTGGCTCAGAGAATTTCCTCATAATACTAGCCAATTCTTTCAAACTTATCTTCGATTGTCCCATATAGAATTGTTCATGGAACAATCTCTCCAATTGAGTCCAATTATGGATCGAGTTTGCTGGCAGTGTGGTAAACCAAGTAAAGGCATTTTTTGTAAGTGAACATGGGAAATATTTTATTCTTAGGTTTTCATTGTTAGCGATTTTGCCTGCCTCTATCAGGTATCTTACCACATGTTCGACTGTGGACTCACTAATAACCCTAGAAAACTTAGTAAATTTAGGGACTTTCCATCTAGGGGTAAATCTGACGGGTAAAATGTATTCAGATAATAATGAAGTATAATTTGGCCTATGAAGGCCAATATTCACCCCATTCCTAGCCATAATTCTTTTGACCATGGCTGCCAGATTATTATCTGCTGCCACATCATCACCTCGAACCTGATTTATAACTTCATCAGCATTTTAGTTTCTATTCACCATTACTGCCATTGGTTTTATTGGGAGTGGTTGCTCAATTCTAGGGAGTTCGACAATGGGCGATTCGACTCCTACTCCCTGGTTTCCCACGTTTTCCTGGAGTCTATTTTATTGAACTTGGTTAATTGTGAGATCTTTTTCTAAAACTAACCCTGAGTTTTCCCTTACCCATCCTCTTTGAGGCTGTCGAGAAGAGTGAGGGACACCAAAGAAATCAGTAATGTGCGTCATTTGCACTGCTAATTGTTTGTTTATTTGGGTTGTATTTTGGATTAAAGGATTAAATATAACCCCCGTCTGTTGGGCAAGCATATGGACCATTTCATGGTTGCTTTCGTCCATTTGTTGCCTTATCACCGCTGCAGAATTGTTGGTGATATTAGGCATTTAGGTAGGAAATCATGTTCATAAGGGTTGCCCAATTTGACCCATGTTATTAATGTGTGAACCCGATCCTTGCAATGGCAAAGTTGCATTCATCACTGGGTCTGGGAACATTGATGATGAATTGTGTAAACTCGCCATTACCGGCGTAGGCATGCCATAAGGTTGTTCACGCCCTATTGGAGGCATCGAAAACCCAGCCACATATGACTTGAATAAGTTACTCCCCACTAGAGGGGGAGTTAATGGTGGATCTTAGGTTCCCATATGGGATAGTATGTGTCTATTTTGCGCAATTGATTACATAGGCGTGGTAGATGCCATGGATTGCACTGGTTCTGAAACTGATGTTAGAACCGTAGTTCCCCCTGTCAAAGACGAAGGGGGTGGTTCTTCATTGTCTGATGGATTTTGGTTATTTAGTGGATTTTGATTCACCATTCTTCTTATGTATCTTCTCCTTGGTCTCTCTTTGTTGTTTGTAGTTATTTTACCACTCTTAAGTCTCATGCAATGAAGTCTAGGGAGATAATAAAAATAAAGAACTTATAAAAGGAAAATTTTCAAAAAGATAAAATTGAAAAACAATAGCACTGGTCTCAATGGGCGTGCCAATTTATTTACTGTTAAAATTGGTAAACAATCGTTGGTCTTCCAAAATAAAATTGGTTTATTTGTAGGATCATCGGTGAACCCTTAGGACATTGCATTGTTAATACAATTTCTAAAAATGTCAAGAACACTTCGGCAACATTCATAATTTGAAAAGGTTGATCAAATGTTTTGAAAAGATAAACTTTTGCAGGAATGTAAAGGAAATACACTAAAGATGCAACTTTAAAGTAAAAGTGCAATAAAGAAATAAATGGTAGATTGAAAGTAAATTTCTATTGAAATAAAAATGGTGTTTCAACATACATTTCTCAATGACAAACTCTTTTATCAACGCTAAGACTCCTATATATAACAAGTCTAAATAACTGCCTTCAATGGACAATTCTCTAAAAATTGACACGTTTCACCCATGCATGCTTTCACTTCGCCACAACTTTCTACACGTCTCCTCTAGAAAATGGATAAGGACAAAAAACAGTTACTCATCTGTATTTTGAATTTCAAATTTCTGTTGAAGAAAAGCTCTAAACATCCTTCGTCAAAGTTGGTTTTACATACTTAGAAAATATTTCTAATGATTTCTCGGACATGTCTCCTTTATGAAGACTACTTCGACCAAACTTCTAACATAATTTCCTGTCGAAGTTAGAAAAAAAATCAAAAAGCTTGATTTTCACTTAACGCCTTTAAGCAAAACATCTGGCGTCGAAATTCCCAGCCAACACAAATATAAATCTAACATATAATAATACTACTAATTATAAACTATTATCAAGTTATGAAATTAAATTTTAAATTTATACACATATTATTAATTAAAATTTAAAATTAATTACGAATTTGTTTGACCAAATAATAGTAATAGTAGTAATAGTATAATATTTTTTTAAGTAATAATGTTAAAGTAATATTTCGTCAAAAAATAATGTTTGATTATTATAAAAAAATTATATTTGAAATACATAATATACTTATTAATTGAATCTCTAAACTAACAGCTAACTTATTTGACCAAATAATAATAATAAATTGTGATATTTATTACGGTTTTGACTACAATATGTGGTTTCACTTATTAAAATAAGATGTGGTTTCTAAAATATTAAAAGTAATCGAGAAAAATAGTTAAAATATGAGTTGTCATTTATCGTTAAACACGATTCACTCTAAAAAAAACTTATATTTAAGACACTATTCTAGACTAAGCTCGATAGAAGAAGGAAGAATGAGTGAAGGAAAATCAAAAAAAGTGAAAGTTATGGAGAAAGAAGTCGATTTGATCAACAGTCTTCCTGATGTACTTCTAATTTCCATCATTTCTTTGCTCCCGGGCATGGAAGGTGTGAGAACAAGTGTTCTTTCCAAGCGTTGGGAATCATTATGGAAGTACTCTTCTCACCTTAGTTTTAACCAATTTCAAATACTAAAGTCTTTGATCGAAGAACACATTCAAAATCCTGACAAAAAAAAGCGTCATGAAATGATTATGAATCATAAGGTACATTTTTAGCGATATCATGTTAAATCATTTATGTTTTAATTAGGAAAATCCCTTAGAACTTTGTTTAAGAAATTATTTATACTTTTAGATTTCTTCGACAAGGCCATTAAAAAACTTGTTTGTATGATCCTTTTTATTATAAGATTTTGGTTTTACGATTGTGGTATATGGCATATTATCTAACTCTTTATGAAGTACTAATGGTTTATGATTTGATATTTTTTGAGTGTTGAGATATGATATTGATTATTAGAATTTGTGCTTGACAGATAAGTACTGAAGAGGATGAAATCTTAGATACAATTGCAGAAGCTTCCATGTTGATTAAATCAATCATGGACAATCACATTGGTCCTTTAAAAAGTTGTAGCATTCAACACTTACCTGAGAGTTGTAAAAATAGGGATGTTGTAGGGTGGCTGAAGAAATTATTGGAGAAAGGGGCTGTTAAAGTTTCACTGGAATGTGAATCTATGAATTATCTTCATAAAATAACAAATATGATTTCAAGGGATATTTCTGGGAACCTTTATTTGCCTTTTAATGTTTTCTCTAGTTTTAAAGTTTTTGAGTTGAAGAACTATGTTTTTAAAACTCTACCCTCACCTAATCCCCAACAGATTTTAAAAACTCTGATCCTTAATAAAGTGTGTATTATATCAAAATTTCATAAAATTCTCTCTCATTGTTTTTCTCTTGAAAACCTTACCCTTGAGAAATGCATTTTCATAAGAGATAAGATTAAAATTGTAAGTCAAAGTCTCAAATATATTAAAATTTGTCATTTGAAGGCACATATAATTTTGGTTTCTGCCATTAATGCAGAAGTCATGGAGATTGACTCTATTATTTGTAATTATAAAGATCTAGTTTTCAATACCCCAAAACTTCATGTTTTGTGTGCTTACTATGATACACAAAGGATTGAGCAAAACTTCTCTACATATGGAGGTAGACTTTTGACATCAAGGGATATTCTTATTGTTTGCAGTAGGACTTTGGTAAGACTTTTTTTTACTCTCTAATATATTTCATTTGAGAACTTAATCAATGTCAATGATTTGTTTTTGTTTCATGGGTACATTATATTTCTTTGTAGTTAATAGAGATATAATATGGTGTTTTGAATGGTATTTTCATCATATTTTTTCTAAGGATTTATACAACTAATTATATGGTCTATATTCAATTACAATTAAATGTTACAATCTTTTTATAGGTCTTGTTAATGCATTGAATACACAAATATACATAAAATCAATTATTTTATATATTTTAAGAGTATGCCCTTAAGACACTTGTTATCATTTCTCTTTATTTAATATTTAGTAATCTAGTATACCATTAATACCTATAGGAAAACAAAAACTTTATCTAATTTGACTAGGTTGCTTAGAAAAATGTTATGCAAATTATAATAATAATATTATAGCTTTTGACTTCATGTAGGTCTTTATTATTTATATTGATGAGTAAATCTAATTAAAATTTAAAACAACCCATAATTTAAGCTTTAACCACATTCTCATAATTTAATATTACAACATTTTTTTACATTCATATCTATCTGTTTTATAACCATCTCTTTTTTATTGTCTTAGGGTCGCCAAAGTTCAAGCATGGGAACTATATTGAGGAATTTGACTACTCTTTGCCTTGATTTAGATTTGAATAACAATAGAAACACCATAGCTATTTCTTTTGCCCTCAAGTACTGCGTTCAACTAAAGAATCTTCAAATAAATAACCAGGTAAGCTTAGAATTACTTTACCAATATGATTTCAACTAGATTTATTTTATTTACATGTTTTCAATTATTCTAATTTTACCTTGGAATTACTTTACCAATATGATTTCAACTAGATTTATTTTATTTACACGTTTTCAATTATTCTAATTTTAAAAATGATATCTAGTGTCAATTATGATTACAGCATAGAGATTTTTTTTTTATAATTATGTTAGTGTGACTAATATTATAGTAAAGTTAGTCATATTTGACCATTCTATGATGGTATTAATACTTTAACTTAAAGTATGTGTAATCATGTTTTATGACTTTTTGGTTTCTCATATATAATCTAGGTCAATTGGAATTACACAGATGGAATGGATGATCAGAATGGCATTGATTCTCTTTATTACCCCATAGGTTTGTTTTGGCCAAAAAGAGAGTCATGTGAGTGTGTCAGCCACAATCTAAAGTCCTTTTGTATAAAGGGATACAAAGGTGGAGATTTTGAAGTTGAATTTGTTAAGTACTTAATAATAAATGGCGGAGTTATAGAGAATATTACCATTTGGTTTTTGGATGATTGTTCATGGGTTGAAGTTGTGGCAACTATATGTTTGTTATCATATCCAAGGAACTCTTCCAAATTGTCCATTGATTTGAAGCCTGGGAAAAAGATTATCAAAGAAGATGGCGCTAGCTTTGAAAAGTGGGTCAGAACCCTAAAATAAAGTTTTTTTTTCTAAAAAACAAAAGTATTTTTGTTTCCATTTACCTTGGATTTTGATTTCCAACTTATTATTAGACTTATGTTTATTGTATTTTTTTTATTGGCGTAATGGTCAACACATTCAAACAAATACTTGCAGAAAGAGAAAATTGGGTGATCAGAGTTTGAACTTAGGATGCCGCATAACATATCTTATAGTCAAAGGTTGTAACAACAAAGACTATTGTACTACAGATTGATAGTTTGTTAATTTATTATCTCTTTCAAAATAAACAGTTCACATTTTATAATATAATAAAAGGAAACACCATGCACACAAGTTTAATTAAATGCTCATATTGCAGATCATTATAGATGGCTATAAACATGATTTGTCTGATATAGTCTTTTGTACAAATATTATATTTTAATGGATGTCTTTTAGGATTAGCAGAATAGTTGTGCTTAAGCTTTTATGATAGTCATTTTATAAGCTAAAATATGTGTTTTAAGTTTTTGTTGATCTCATATCCATCTTAAAGTTTTGAAAAAAAAATGAGGGTAAATAAGCATTTTTATCAAGCACAAACATGTATTAAAATTTATAAATTAAAAACTCATATTTAACAATGTTTGAATTCAATGGTAGAAGCTTTGAACCATTTGAAATAAAGTCTAATAACTTTGTTCAAAATTAGAAATATGTTACGAATTGATTCATGAGGTGTTTGAGTAAATTCAAACATTACTTAGGTGTTTTTTCACAATTTCTCTGAAAATAACCTCGAACCAATTCAAACAATATTTGAATCAATTCAAGCCTGATTTTTTCATATCTAGTTTTGCAACCGAATTTCTTTAATAGATTCTTCCATTTAATGAATAAATTCAACAATGATCCTGGGTATAATATTTAAATACTTTCAATTGATTCAAGTATGCTTTAAATTTATTCATGTTGGTAAAAAATTATATTTTAAAGTAGGTTTTACTATATGAATAACATATTTCACAACAGTTGGACAAAGAGGTATAATCACGGTTGATGGCTTGTGGTAAAGTAGCGTGTGGTAGTAAGTGAGCTACTTATCACCATGGTCTATTAATCATGGTAATAAATGGAAAAGCGCACTATATATCACCATTGTTGTAATAAACAAGCATAATGAAAAACTAAAAGGTTATGGGTTCGATACCCAGCAATGTCATTTTTGGCGTTTATTAATTTGGATAGCATGCTACATATAACCACTGTTCATATAACCCAACATGGTGAAATAATTTGTGTTTTTTTAAATATTAATTTTTTAGTTTTATAAAATTCACACTTTTTTAACCCGTATTCATTTAAATTGTAAATAGAAAAGAAACAACAACACAAACCATTTGTGAATCACACCCATATTTGGCAACTGATATAGCTAAAAAATTGTATTACATAAAAATAAAAAATCACATTAAGAACCAAAACTTGTACTATTACATCAAAACCAAAATGACACAAAACAACATACAATTCAAACATCATTACATCAAATAATATCTACAATGTCGGAAACGTCTCTTGTCTCTTAGTGTCTTGACTTCAAACACCTGTAGTTTTAAATAATAATACTTGTTAGTAAATAACCTTAGAAATTATTACATACAATAAATTATGAATAAACAATAAAAAAATTTACTTGTTATTTTTCCATATGCCTTATTCATAATCATTACGAATAGTATGCACATCATCTATATCAACTTCTTCGTATGAATTAGGCATTTATGTTTCATAACAGGGAGTAGAAGAAGTATCAAAATTTAAATTATGATTTTCATTACTATAAGGAATTTGTTTTCCGTGGATAACGATTGAGCATCATTTGTCAAAAGGGTCAGCCTCATATAAAACACTTGTTTTGCTTGGTTAACCATGATTAATGGTTTGTTCATATAAGTTTTATTGCCAAGGTCAACTCGTGTAATCTTAACTCATTATTTTGTACACCAATTTTATTGTCAACCCACTCTCATTTAAATAAAGGAACTTTAAATAAAACATAATCAATATTCCAAATCTCTTCAATGATCTCAAAGTGCGCTCTAGATGCTAATATAGGATTCTTATCTTTCGAACTAGAGAAATACATAGATTTGGCCTCAACCATAACATTACTATTTTACATTGTACTACGATCATCTTTTGATTTTGTATAAAAGGAAAAAATAGTAATATCGTATATAGTCAAAAGTTACTACATTAAATTTTGGCATGTCTGACGTCAATTTAATTATCTCAGATGCACTATCATCATTAGAAATCCTTTCATTAAACCAACTTATGAAATTTTTAATATGATTTTTCAACAACCACTTGCCACTCATTCGAGGATATTTTTCTTTGATAAGTCTTTTGTGAGTAGATTAGTAAGGTTGAACTTCATCAACATTATTCAATATAAACAAATGTGCTTGAAGAACTATATCTCGAGGCATTGACACAACATTTAAACCTTGAGTACTTGTACCGCCTTATATGTCAACATTACGAGACTTTGGAATTCCTATAGACTCTACTTCTAACAAATAGTTTAAACAGAAGTCAAAAGCTTCTTTTGTAAGGTACCTTTCAATAATCGAAGCTTCTGGTCGGTGATAATTCATTGTATATCCTTTAAAGATATTTATATATCGCTCTATTGGATACATCCACCTTAAATAAAATGAACCATAAAATCTGATTTCTCTGAATAGATGAACAATTACGTTAACCATAATGTCAAAAAATAATGGAGGAAAATACATCTCAAATTGACACAAGATTATTGTAGTCTCATCTTCTAATTCATCTAATATTTTGAAATCAATAACTTTATTACATATGAAATTGAAAAATAAGTACAATTTGGTTATAGTTATCCTTACATTTTTTAATAGGCTACCACAGATAGCCACTAGTAGATTTTGTTGCATCAAGATATGAAAATCATGAGATTTTGAGCCAATTAACTTGAGATCTCTCATTGATGCAAGTTTCTTGATGATTTATAGGTAACCTTGGGAAACTTTGATACCATGAAAACACTCACATAAACTTTTCTATTCCTTTTTAGACATGAGAAACACCCACATAAGTTATTATTCTTAATTCTTCTAAAGAAAATTGTTGTCGTATACTTAATATCACTCAATCACAACAAGAGTAATGCGAATGGAACATTAATGTTACATACACAACATACTAATATGATTATATATAACAACACTCTCACACATGCTTACAGCTATCTACATTCCTCAACATACTAGAGGTTCATACACACCAATTGAGAATGGTGAATGGTGATAAAGATTTTTGTTATCGATTTTCATTCACAACAATATAACATTTAACATAATCAAAACTTAAAACTCAATATGAATTATGATAAATGTGATTAAAGAGAGACCACCCTGTAAATTGAAGAAGAAGAAAAGACCAATAAGTGATTTTCTTGTGCACTAGCTTCTTAAAGTTTGGACGTTAGACGAAATGAATGAGAGGTGATGAAGTTTGTATGATCCAAGATATGATAAAGGTGATTAGTTTTGGACTCGATTTCGTCTGTTTCGCTATCACTTCATCTGTTCATTCGCTAGGGAACTGGCTTTGTGAAGGAAATAAACAAAGTCTGGCATGTTTAAATTTAAAAGGAGCACATTTCACCATGGTTGAAAAGGCCAACAATATCGAAATATAATAAACATATAACCACAGTTGAAAAAACCAACTGTGGCTAAAAGTTTTTTAATTTTCACATAACTATATAAATTAAGGGACACATCCTTTTTTTATAGATAAAAATGGAAAAATGTTGGTGCTAAGACTTAAAGTCTGTAAGCCTTTAAATATCACTGCAGTTATTACTATGGACCGCAGTGAAAAATCTTTTAATAAAATAAAAAACACAGGCGCCTAAATATTACCTATTACTTAGATTGATATATTTTATATTAGTGTTTCATGTTCTATTTCTCAAAATTACAAATACCCTTTTACCTATTTCTCATTAACATCTAAAACTCATCTTTCTTCAATCTAATTTTTCTTAGTTGAAAAATGTTATTGTTTTTAAGTTCATAATGTGTAATTGTTGCACCCCAAAATTTTCCTCTCTCTTTTAACCTTAACTGGATTTTATTTCACATTCATCTGCATCTTCATTAGGTCATAACCTCATAATCATGTATTTCATTGGTCTTCAAGACAGGGGATTACATCATTTCTCTGAATCAAGGTTTCCTATTTATTTTGAGGCTCTTTCATGCAAGTTGAGGCAAGGGTTGAATCCTTATCATTATGAGTATCTTCACTCAAGACTTATCAGGATATATTGTCATCTTCTTCAAGATCTCTCTAGAGTATCAGATGCTTAAAGTTTTTGCATTGATAGCTGAAGTCAATTCATTATCATCAGGGTGGCTAGGGTTTCATGTCAAGGATGTTTTGGTAATCATGTTTACTTCTGCACTTCATGCCTCACCTTTATCTTCAAGGTCTCCTTAGGGAATTATTCTTGTGTTGAGATCATTGGTCATGAAGGCAAGGTATATGTGGACTGAGTTGCAAAGCATTGGGTTATATTGCAAAAGATCAAGTTGTGAATTCAGCTTGTGCTTCAGGCATTACTATTCTTCCAAGTGTTTGTTGCTTATGATACAATTCATCTGTGCATTCAAGAACAACACATGATTATGCATTCACGATTCAACAAAGGCATGTAACATGTATTAAAATTAAACACAAGTACTCAACAAGATTTCACAATTAAACATTCAAACAAGAACATCATGCATTCAACACTAATTAATCAATTCAAACAATCATGCGTTCACGAAAACAAAAACAAACCTAAGCATGTGATACAAATCCAGCAAGATAACCATCAAGAGCCAACAATCAATATTGTGCAAGTGATTATGTAACATGATCAACACACCAAGAATGCAACACAATAATCATAAATGTTCATCAATAAAAACCAAAAGTCGTGTGTC